TGATTACCATGCGAGGTTTCCAGCTTCATTCAGTCACAGACAGTCTGCAACCAGAGCAAGACAAATGGCTTGTTTGGAGAGCATATCACTGCTGACTCAACACTGCGAATTCCTCATTCTCCCTGAATGAGCTGCTTCACAATAACCTGCTGCTCTGTGGGGCAGGACTCACACTTATTTTACACTTCCTGACACTGGTCTGGAGATACAGATCTTTAATTTCTTTAATTTAATTCTTTAATTCAAGCATGTTTTATTGTCCGCTTGGTTGCTCCCACATGAAGGAACCTTATTTGTTTGGCGCCAACCATTTCCACAAGGAAAGACTTAAAAAATTCCCAGCACTGATGCACAATGAATAGCCATAAAAAGATCGGCACGACCTATAAAAATAACCGCGTACTGTATGTAATGTATGCCATCTTTTCTGCAGTAGTAACCCCACGCTGGATTCCAGTTTGTGGGAGAAGCAGTGTGGTGGAAGCACAGAGGAGCATCGCTAAACATAACGAGTATGGGAAAATGTCCATTGCAATGTCTATGCACATTCACAGACATTCGTTATTAATAAAATAATAATTCCTTACTTTTCTTTAGCACTTTGATGGGTACTCCACTCAAACCGCTTACAGGTAATCCAGTTTCCCCTCCACCAGTGTGCAACCCCACCTAGTTGATGCAACGGGAGCCATAGTGTGACAGTAAGCTCACCACACAGCAGCTATCAGTAGGGAGGAGAAGTATTGAAGCCAGTTCATAGATGGGAACTATTAGGAGGCCATGATTGATAAATTCCAGTGGTAAATGTGGCCAGAACACCAGGCTAATAAACCTATTCTTTTTGAGAAACTCTCTGGGGTTTTTGATGACCACGGAGAGTCAAGACCTGATTAGGACCCATACAGACTGCAGGAGTGAGCGTTCCTTACTGATCCCACTAACACCTCTTCCAGCAGCAACCTTAGTTTTTCCCAGGTGGTCTCCCATCCAGGTACTGAGCAGGCTCCCACCTGCTGAGCTTCAGTGAGTTGCCAGTTGTGAGTGGCTGGGTGATATAGCTTCTGTGGTTTAGAATTCATGGCATTTGTGCAGAGAGAAAAGAGGAAAAAGGCTGGAAACAAATATCCCACATCCAATTTCTTAACTGTCTGTCCAATTTCCTTTAAATTCACAGGGATTTATGATTTAGGATTATGTCAACAGCAGAGGGAAAAAAACAGATTCCCACTGACAGGGATGAAGAGGGATATTCCTTTCATGAGAATTCATTTCCAATTTAAAATCTTCACGTTTTTACCTACAGATACTAAAATCTGAAACATCTTTTAGGCTCTAGTTTTGTAATGTATACAGGATTTCAGCTCATAAGGTTCTGATCGTGTGACCCCATCTATCTTGATTGTCCCATTAAATGCAAGGTAAGGTATTATTGGAATGTATTTTTTATTAATAAAAGAAAAGCTCATATAGGAGAAATGGGTCTTACTTCAGCTATTATAGGCACCAACAGGCTTTTTAAGAGCATGATGTCAGACATGATTAATGTTACTAAGCTCATGATATCAGTTATTCAAGTAAAGTCTGGAATACATGGTAGTAAAACAGGTACTGCATTAATATTATATTAATATTCAATTTGGAATTTTTTGAAAGAGATTGTGAACAAAGGTGTAGATAGCAAGCTCTGACGTTAATTTTTTTTCTGTTACTTTGTCTTTATTCACAGCACTCAGCCTCCCCAGGGGTAATTTCATATTTCCAAGGTACACTGATTCAGTTTTGCAGAAGAAGTACTGTTCAGATATATGTGTGTTTTATCAAACCACAACATAGGCTTTACTGCTCATTATTTTCAGCTAACTGACCGATTTCCTTTACTCAGAAGTGTAGGCAGTCACTGAGACCGTGTATACCACAAACCCATACTGGAGAAAAATAGAACTTTTTAAGTGCCATAAGCACCAATACTACTCCCCCGATAAATTATAGGCATGAATCCTATTAATGGTGTAAAATAATAAAACAATCATGAAATCAGCTGAGGGAATAATTTGGTGAATAATGTCAAGTGCTGGGCTTTCTGTCCTGTTATGACCACACTGATCCAAACCTCTATTCCAAACTGTGCTCTCACAATTTAGATCACAATACTGCACTTCTACAGTAGTTTACTATAGAAAACACAAGAGATTATTTCAATATGTCTTTTTTATAAGTGCTTGTGTTTTTAATTGGGTGTGACAATGAGTCATTGCTGTAACAGAACATCACACTTTCTGCAGTGCAGATGTAGCTAACCGCAGACTTTGAAAACTGAAAATAAACCACGTGAACAGCTAGGAGCCAAATACATTCCTTTAATCCCTTTGTTCTTATAGGATCATCTGAAATTGTATATATAGATGTCAGTTTCCTTTTTTGAAAAATAATTACATTTTCCCTTACTTTCCTTTTCACTGCTTCACAGGCATAACAGCTGCACCTACGTGTAATTTGATCTGGAATGGTTACTGTACATGCGTTTTGGTGATAGGTTTGGAGCTACGACCTTCACTCTTGTGGTAGGATTCTACGAAAAAGATTTGTGCCGGGAAGAGCAAAGATATGGGGAGCGAATACTGTAAGAAATGCGCAATGTGATCTAGTGCGCCCATAATGATGGGATTCGTTTTTTGACAGCAAGGAATTAAGTCCCCAGACAAAGAAACGTGTTTCTTGCACTGCAGAACTCCGGTGTATTGCCAGCCATCACTGAGGAATCAAAGTTGGGGATCGATTGAGAATCATGTTGCACTGATTCGATCTCTGTATTTCATGAGTGCAGACAATGGCCAAGCCTACTTCCCAATGACGGCTGTCCAGATTTGAAATCCCACGCAATGCCACAGTGAGCTTCAGTCCCTTCCTCAGTGATGGCTGGCAATAAACCAGAGTTCTGCGGTGCAAGAAACATGTTTAAATTAATTCCTTGGTGGGCGGGGCGGTGGCTCTGTGGCTAAGGATCTGCGCCTGTGGCTGGAAGGTTGCCGGTTCAAATTCTGCGGCCGGCAGGGGAATCCTACTCCGTTGGGCCCCTGAGCAAGGCCCTTAACCCCAGCTGCTCCAGGGGCGCCGTATAAATGGCTGACCCTGCGCTCTGCCCCCAAGCTTCTCTCCCTGCCTGTGTGTCTCATGGAGAGCAAGATGGGGTATGCGAAAAGACTAATTCCTAATGCAAGGAATTGTATACGGCCAATAAAGTGATCTTATCTCTTACCTGAAGCCAACAGCAAACAGCTAATTAACTCAAAACCCACACTGCAGAGCAAGAACAGGGCCTGACATTGGGTGCACAGCCCACCTCAGACACTGCGCATTATTCAAGGATCCACAATAGATCACCTTTTGGAATGGCCCGGAGAAAAATGGCTGACAGTGGCTCCACAGCTGCACTTGTCCTGCATCTGTCCAGCAAACCCTTACCTGACAGACAGAGAAAACTCCCCTGGCGCGCTTTCGCTCTCCCGGAGCAAGAATATGCCACAGTCCCTGTGCCGCAGCCGGCCCTCAGCAGCCTGCCTGGAGATCCGCCCCGCAAACCATCTGTTGCGACAGGGAGGCAGTCGTTAAAGGCTCAGTCATCCATTGAGAACGTACAGGAAGAAACGTTAAGAATGAGAGAAGGCCATTGTACCAGTCTAGCCCTTCTGGTAGTTGGTAGTTAACTGAACCAAGGATCTTATCCAGCTGAAAGAAGCCAAGGTATGGGCTTCATCAACGTGGCTGGATAACTTGTTCCACACTCCCGCCACCCTTTTGATAAAGAAGTGTCTTCTGTTTGAACTTGAACTTGAACTTTATTGCCATATGTAACCGGTACTGGTACAATGGAATTCTTACTTACAGAAAGTCTCTCGACTTGTAAAACAAGTGTAAAAAAACAAAACAAAGTGCAAACAGTGCATCAAGACAATATACAAACAAACAATAGACAATGTGCAAGTAAACATGTAGACAGTTTGAATGTAAACAATACAGACGTGTAAACAATGACTGGAGATGTGCAACAGATAAGAAATCATAAAGAGGTAGATGGTGATGGTGTAGGTGTGGTCCGAGGGGGATGGCTAAATGTGTTCGCCAGTCTCACTGCTTGTGGATAGAAGCTGTTGTAGAATCTAGTGGTATCGTATGCTCTTATATCTCTTGCCTGAGGGCAGTGGGGTGAAGAGCTCATGCCCGGGGTGGTGACTGTCCTCTGTGATGGCCAGAATTCTACCACGGCAGCGGTCCTCATGTTTTCAGTGTCTCCCACGTAGTTTCACCTTTCGTTCTGAATGAGATCGCTGCCGAGTCTTTGAGGGCTATGAATGCTCGCATCAGGTGCCATCATAGTCTTCTCTGCTCTGGACTTGAATGGTTCAGTTCTATTACTCTGACAGAATAGGGCTTCCATTGAAGCCTGGGTTTGTATTTGGTTCTACGGACTGAGAAGGAATTGCTTTCTTTCAAGCAGCTGGAGCAAGGCAGGATACGCCCTGGACAGGACGCCAGTCCATCGCAGGGCACACACAAATACGGACACACACGGAGCACAATCCTGCTCTAAAAACTTCTAGGCACTAAACTAAGCTGTAATGAAAGGGTTTTGTTCCATAAAGATGTGAAAAGCTATTTCAGATATCGCATGCACTTTCCATTACATGTGAGAAATTCTTACTCTTTTAGAATTGACATTCAAAAAACATTCAGTGTCCTGTTTCAAATCAGGGCAAACCATGTGCTGCTATCTCCTGCTAATACTGTTATTCATCAGTTTGCTGGATTTCACCGAGCTGTAGTATGCATACTTCACTGAGGGATACTTACGCGTGGGGTCTTACATTGATATAGTTTTTGGGAACATAACCCTTTCTCCCCCTCAGCTCAGCTGTGTACCAGTTGGGGTCGTCTTCCATGTTGGTGATCTGCAGAGACAGATAAGGTTGTGTCTTTCCAACTTTTCTATGGATCAGTTACGCATTGCATGTATAGCTTTAGACCAGCAGTCGTCACTGTGTTTCTTTCTGGCCAGTGTAAGATCAGTAAGAGGCTTTTGTTGGTGACAAACATCTACAGCACTTTCTGCAATATGTTCATGTGATATTTGATAGGATTAATGGGGTGGGGCACAGATACAGTAAAGGAACACAAACAGCACCACCTCAAATTTATGAACGTCTTGCAAAAATGTTGAACTGTTGGCTAGAATGTTATCAACAGTTACAAGACAAAATGTTAGAAATATAGAAAAATGGGATTGAAAACAATCTGAGACACTCCTAAGTGAAGCTAGTTTACAACATAAACTATCTAAATGAAAAAGTATGTTTTATTCCCTTCATGACTTATCCAAAATTCTAACTTTATAAGGCAGAACTTTACAATGACGTCCAGCTATAAACACTGTAATAGCCTATATAGTGTAAGTCAGTTATGAACACCCCAGGGACAAGTCTAAAATACAGATTGTTTTGGTATAGATTTATAACGGCACTGTATTCAATGAATTATCCCAATTTAAAAAAAAAAGATTGACTAGATATGCTAAGGTAGAATAGTAAAGACCTAAACAATTTAGTTGACGGGAGCGTCGTTTATTTTTAATCCGCGTCGTAATGTGATAAATTAACCTGCAGGGAATTGTGAAGAGTTCAGTGGAAGCACATTACTCTGAGCACTGAATGCCCACAATCACAACAAACTCTCTCATCTAGCCTATTACTCCTTATAGGCACACAGCTGTAGAACGTTGTGCCTTCCCAGGGTAGGAGCCCCTATCAGCTACAGAACGACTCCGCAAGCACAAAGGTCGAAGACAGAACAGGTTAGTAGCTGAAATATTTGAATGTTTCTTTAGAGGCATAAAACAGCAAGTAAAAGTCCTTTATACACCTGTATCTATATCAATAGCTACACCTGAATGTACACATATAGACACACCTAAGCAGTACAACTTGACCTGATCTCGACATTCCCTGCCGGCTTGTTCCCAGCTTACCATGAGTACGTCTCCTTTCTGGAAGCTGAGCTCGTCTCCTTCTGTGGCTTTAAAGGTGTACAGCGCTATAGCTTCCATCCTGCCCACTGGCCATCCAGGGTGTGAGGAGCGAGAGAAAGAGGAGAGGAGAGATGGCGGACCACCACCAGCCTGAGGAGCTCAGGAGACGCCCTGAATCAATAAACGAGAGACTCAGGAGCCACCCTGTGTTGCTGACGGAGGGTCTGCGTGCGATTCTGTGTGTGTGTGTGAGGCAGGGCTGCTGGTGGCACCGCATGCTCAGGACAGCAGAGCCATGTGTGACAGAGGGAGAAAGAGAGCGAGGAGAGGAGAGGAGAGAGAGAGACCGAGGCAGCTGACCTGCGCTTCCTGCCTCTTTGTCTCTCTCACTCAGGGAAGCTGGCGCTCTGAGAAACAGGAAACCAGTGCACCAAAAAAAAAAAGGGTAAAAACAACTGCCATAGAGTCCACTCAAAAACTTCCCCTGCGCAGTGGAGCAAAGGCATCAAAGCTCGCGCATTAACTGACTGTACAAAACTGAGGGATGGGTTCAAAGTGTCCAGTAAGTGGCAAGCAGTGGTTTTATAACAGGTTAGCCCCGCAGAGAAATCTCCTTGAAGCTTTATTTCGACGGCCCATTATTATGTAACAGGTAAAGGTTAATTCCAGTCCTGCAGAAGGCTGCTTCTTATAAATGTGGAATTCATCTTTACTTGTTCCTTTGCAGCCGACGCAAACTGACACAGCTTCCCGCTCGAACGTTCTTACAGGCCAGGTCTTCAGTGGTAGACAGTGGCACATGAGGTATTATTAATAGCAGAAATAAAAAAAGGCTTTAAAAGCCAGCCGCAGAGGAACAGAAAGGAATGAGGTTTCAATTCTTCAAGTGTGGCGTATACAAACTCATTATTAAAACGAGTATCAAAATGGAGCCCAGCCCTTGATTACACCAAACCAAACAGACTGTACACTGTATATTACGCCAGAATATTTTTTCTGGTTTTGTGAAAGCAAACACTCTAGAATCAATCTCCTCTTAGTCCATATCATGTACTGTACATGTGTCTAGATGACAGCTCTTTATGTGTCCTCTTTCTTCACCATCATAATTATATGACCATAATAATTTCCAGTAAAATAATTTAAAAAACAAAATTAGACACTAAAGGTATGTAATGGATTCATCCATGTTAAAAATGCTTTGGGTACAATAATTAGTTTTCCATTAAAAAATAACTAATTCTTAACTTACAAAGTACACATAACCTTTAGCCAAATAAGAGATTTTACTTTCCTGAATTAAAACCATGAAATTGAGTCGAGTGAACAGAATAAAGAGGAAGATTATTGTGTGGATTTTTAATGCGCATATTATTCATCATAGGTGTGTAACTACCCTGGAGACTCTTGAGTCTATTATCTGATTTGTAACCTAATTTCAAGGTTGCTGAATATTGCGATTCTAAAGTCACCTCAATGAATACTATTGCATAATATAATTAACCTCCCAAGCCAGGAATTAGTAGATAAGTACTAGAAGCAGCAGGTTTTAGAGAATAGCTTGCACTTGGCAAAAACCTTAAATGAAAGCTTGTCAAACACGATAAAAGCCTAAAATCCTGTGTGCATGGATAATGAACCCAATACAGAGCCTTTTTCAGCAGTCAGAGTCATAACATTATAAAAAGAACATTGTATGTGGAGAAATGAAAAACTAGACAATGATAACTATCCTGAAAAAAAAACATAAATTATTGTCAAGAGTTCAACAGGTAATTTAATCATTTTTATCAGTTTGTTCCCAAAAGTTAAATCAAATGTACAAAAACTCAGCTGTATTTGCAGAACGTCTCTTTGTGTTTGGTCATTCCTTAAGTGACCATGTCTAACTGATGACTCAGATTGATTGCTTTAATAAGCTGCTTGTCATCAGAGCTAATAACAGCTCCTTTATTATTAACCGTGTTGAAGCCGGTGGGTTCCTGTGTGCTTCCACACACCAGTCAGTGGGAACGCTATGAAGTCTGCACCATGCGGGCCTTTGAACTCTCTGGTGCAGCCACTTTCTGTTTGATCTGCTACTTTTAAGGAATTCCAGCAGGGAAACTGTAAATGTGTTGTTGCAGATGAAGATGGCGATGTAATTATGTTTCGTATGTGTGCATTAATGAAATCCCCCTGCAGTTGCCCTCACATACCCTTGTCCTTGACAGACAGGAAGAGCTTTGGATTTTTTTTTAGCAGTCACCCTCAGCTGCTAACGCAGCACAAAATGAGGACATCTTGGCCTTTCCATTTCTACAGTTAAGTGTAGCAAGATACACAGAATACAAGGTGAAGAGAAATATGAAGTAGTGAAGGACATTATCCTGTAAGCTGTGCTGTACACTCAGATGCTTCAAGGGTAAGGAAAATAAAATCATCCTGGTGCACCACTCTATTATTTACACTATCTTGATGCAAAGCATTAAAACTGAAGGGTAAAACCCATCAGTCAAGCAAGGTGTAACTGCGTGAAGTGAGATGTCTGCACCTGACAGCTGAAGACGGCTTTTTTGTGAGCATTTGGTGCTGACAGTTCTACTCTACCTGACCTGTGTGCGTCCGCCTAAAGCTTCCAGTTTGATTCCTCTGATTGCAGGTCACAACTGGCATACTGTCATGAGCTGGGAGAATACTCCAGGACTGTGAAGATTAAACATTTTCCCGATGAAGGTGATTTGGAAGTCCATTGTGAAGACATGGTAAGTGAGTGCAGACCAACCCTGCACCCTGTCATTTCTCTCCGGACTTTTTTGGGGTGGAAGTGAACAACAGCAATAAGGTAGATAATTATACCATATAAGCAATTAAGGAAGTCAATTAATGGCTCTAAAAGGTCTGAAAGGTCTTTCGGTTGTGGTTTTGAAGTCCTTCAGATATTGGTTTTATTCATAGAAGGGATTGTGCATGAGAGGTGTGAGAATGGTAACTGTATGAGCCACATTTGAAAAACCTGTGAACATCGCCTGTTCTACTCAAGTTATTTTTGATCGTGGTAGTGAGACCTTTACCTTTGAGGGTGTCAAAGCTGAGCAGCTCTTTAAAATAGACAATGATGTGCCCCTGCATCCTGCAGCTTTAGTACTCTTGTTCAGCACATATGGTATGTGACGTACATTCTTTTTCATGGGGAATAAAAAGGATCATTTATAATAGGATGAG